TGGTGGTGATTGTCTCAATAGTTGTGCATGCATCTAAAACTTTATAATATTGTGAGAATTAAAATCCAGTATATGTAGTATTGCCGTTATTTAAGTCTCTAAAATCGACATCAATAACCAGCTTCTTCCAAGACTAGCTTAGCAAAAGGGTCAGCAAACAATGGCCTGCTGCTTGAATAGCCCATGAGCTAAGTATGGTTTTAAATTTCTTTAGTAATTGAAAGTTACCAAAAGAAAAATAATATTTTATGATGTGAAACTCTTATTAAATTCAAATTTCAGTGTCCATAAAGTTTTATTAGAATACAGCATGCTTATTTATGTATTATCTATGGCTGCTTTTGCACTGCAGTGGCACAGCACAGGTTGTAAGGCCCAGAAACTCTGAAATATTTACTTTATGGTCCTTGACAGAAAAGTTTGCTGAATCCTGGGCTAGCATAATGGCTGTAACAGGTAAAGTTGATGAGTTTATAAAATTAGTAACTGAAATGTTAGGAGTCTTCCAGCAGAAAGAACAGTCCAAGAATCAGGTAAAGCCAACCAATCAGAGACATGTTTTATGAGTGTTAAATGACCTAAAACTGGCAGTCACCATTCAGCAGTGAACCTGAAGTGGGATGATGATACAGCTGGAGGAACAGGCACATTGCGTTGACTGGTGTGGCTCAGTGGGTGGGGCCTCATCCAGCAAACTGAAAGGTCTGAGTCTAACTCCTGGTCAGAGCACATAACTGGGATGCGCCCCAACTGGGGAGCCACAAGAGGCAGCTAGAAGATGTTTCTTCCCATCTTTTCCTCCCTCTCTCCCTCCCCCCCTCTAAAACTAACTAACTAAATAAAAGATTTTAATCGTATTACAGTTCCCTTTTCATAAGTCAAGTGCTATGACACATCAACTGGGGTCTCCATAATACTAGGTACTTGGGTATTTTTTCCTGTGGTATTTTACCAAGTATATTTTTTAAATTCGTATTCTCTCAAGGTACTAAAATCTGTGCCAAGATGTTATTCAAGTGCTATTTTGGTGTGACCCAAAAATTAATTTTGTTCACTCCCTAGTTACTTCTGGTGTACCAGTTTCAGCAGTTACCTCAATGTGCTGCTGATTAAGTGCCTACCAACTAGGGCAGTGTTTCCCAGCTAACAGGCCTCTGAAAGACCTCTAAAGCACTTTGGTCTAGGCTGGGCTTCCCCCAGACCTTGGCTCCACACATGCCACTCACTGGTCTGGAAGGTTAGCAGTGTCTTCTCTGCCTTCCTGAATGAGTCTGGAACATTTCAGGTTTCTTTTGGAGTCTGTTACTGACTTGATGCTGGGTCTTCACAGATGTAAACTTTGAAACATGTAAACAGATAAAAAATTAAACACTCCCACCCCACCACACACACACACACACACGAGAAGAAAAAAATGAGGAAGGACTGAATGAATTATTAGTGCCTAGAATGTCCATATATGTTCTTTTGCAGGAGAATATTGTAGATAAAAGAGCTCTTGAAATTCCATTGGATGGCACAGTATCTTAATATACCAAGACTGAGGTTGTATTTCCTCCACTGCACATGCTCCCCATCCCTACATACACATAAACATGCTTTTTTCCCACCTAAGACAGTTCTGTATATTCTACTGTTTGAGCAGCAAAAGCATAAAGGTTGAGGCCCTTACTGGGTACTCAGTTGGCTACAAGATCATGGTTGTGGGTTTGTTCCCCGGTCAGGGTCAGGGCACGTACAAGAATCAGCCAGTGAATCCATGGCTTGGTGTGGCTCAGTGGACTGAGTACCAATCTGCAAACCAAAGGATCACTGGTTTGATTCCCATTCAGGGCACATGCCTGGGTTGCAAGCCAGGTCCCCACTAGGGGGTGTGCAAGAGGCAACCACACATTGATGTTTCTTTCCCTCTTTCTCCCTGCCCCTCTAACATAAATGAATAAAATATTTTATTTTAAAATAAATTTTATTGATTATGCCGTTACAGTTGTCCCATATCCCCCCTTCATTTCCCTCCAACCTGCACACTCCCCTCTCCCCACATTCCTCCTCTTTAGTTCATGTCCATGTGTCACAAGTTCTTCAGCTTCTACATTTCCCACACTACTCTTGCCCTTCCCCTGTCTATTTTCTACCCACCATCTATGCTACTTATTCTCTGTACCTTCTCCCCGCTTTCCTCCTCCCACTCCCGTTGCTAACCTTGCATGTGATCTCCATTTCTGTGGCTCCGCTCCTGATCTAGCTGTCCGTTTAGTTTGCTTTTGTTTTTAGGTGTGGTTGTTAATAATTGTGAGTTTGCTATCATTTCACTGTTCATATTTTTTATCTTCTTTTTCTTACATAAGTCCCTTTCACATTTTATATAATAAGGGCTTGGTGATGATGAACTCCTTTAACTTGACCTTATCTGAGAAGCACTTTATCTTCCTGTCCATTCTAAATGAAAGCTTTGCTGGATAGAGCAATTTTGGATGTAGGCCTTGCATTTCATGACTTGGAATACTTCTATCCAGCCCCTTCTTGCCTGTAAGGTTTCTTTTGAGAAATCAGGTGACAGTCTGATGGGAAGTCCTTTGTAGCTAACTCTCCCCTTATCTCTTGCTGCTTCCAGAATTCTCTCCATTTTATTAATCTTGGCTAATGTAATGATGATGTGCCTTGGTGTGTTCCTTCATGGGCCCACCTTCTTTGGGACTCTCTGAGCTTCCTGGATTTCCTGGAAGTCTATTTCCTTTGCCAGATTGGGGAAGTTCCCCTTTATTATTTGTTCAAATAAGTTTTCCACTTGTGGCTGTTCCTCTTCCCCTTCTGGTACCCCTATAATTCGGATGTTGGAACGTTTCAAGATGTCCTGGAGGTTCTTAAGCCTGTCCTCATTTTTTTTGAATTCATGTTTCTTCATTCTTTGCTGTTTGGTTGTATCTTTCTTCCTTCTGGTCCACTCCATTGATTTGAGTCTCAGTTTTCTTTCCAGCACTATTGGTTTCCTGTGCATTTCCCGTCATTTCAATTAGTTTAGCCTTCATTTTTTCATCTAATTTGCGACTAAAATCAACCAGTTCTGTGAGCATCTTGATCACCAGTGTTTCGAACTGTGCATCAGATAGGTTGGCTAGCTCTTGGTCGCTTAGAAGTATTGGCTCTGGGGCTCTGAGCTGTTCTTCTGCTTGAGCCATAATGTTTTGGTATGTTGTCACCTGTTAGGTATGAGGGGCGGAGCCTTGTGTTCACCAGGGCAACCCAGTTGCTAGGTTGTGACTGGGGGCAGGGTCAGAGAGGGAGCAATGCCGTTTATTGGGCTCTCTCGGATTTTGGCCCCCTCTGCCGCTTTCCACAAGCAAATTGGGCCCTTCTGGTGCTGGTTCCTGGGTGGGTGGGCTTGTGTACATTCTAGGATCCTGTGGGTCTCCCAATGAACTCTCCTGTGAGGCTGAAATCCTCTCCTGTCACCTCAACCCCCGCAAGTTTTTTCAATCTGTGCTTTTAGGCTTTATTTCCCATTGTTGGGGCCCTAGCCTGCACGGTCTGTCTCACTGATGGTTTATCTGTGCGTGAATGGGTGTCTGTGGTCAGCCAGCTGCCTTGCAAGCCTTACTGAGTTTTCACCCTGCGCCTGCCTGGTCTGCTAACCACCACCTTTTCTACCCGGGACCCCTCTCCTCCAGCTGCCAACTCCGCCCCTCTTATGGGTCTGAATGAAAGGTTCGTTGTTGTCGGACAAATTTTCTTTCTGTTTTGGTTGTGTTTTTGTTTCTAAATCTTTGTTGTCCTTAAATTTGGTTGTGTGAGGATGTACAGTGTTTCCACCTGTGCCTCCATCTTGGCCAGAAGTAATAAAATATTTTAAAGAAGACAAATAAATGGTCAACAAGCAAAAAAAAAAAAACAACAACCCAAAAGGCAATGAATGCCTAAGTGGAACAAATCTATGGTTTTCTTTCTCACCCTTCCGTTCCCCACTTACCTCCACAAAAAAAAAAAGAAGAGAAAAGCTTGGGGCTGAGGGAAAGAAGAGAAAAGCTTGGGGCTGAGGGAAAGGGCATTGCTCTTTTATAGCAGCTTACCATTTTTCTTTGTTTTAAGACATTGCAGGAAAAGGGGTTGAAAGAATAAGGAAAGTTAGGGAGGTGGGAGAAGGACTCATTTCATACCCACCTGAACAGATACCCTTTTGCATTCTATTTTTAAACTTTGAACTAAAGTGAAATTCATTTACAAGTAAGTTTACTAAGATAAACCCTTTATGATATAGCATACTGGATGGTTGTAAGAGCTCTCTTTGAATGTTTAACCATTTATTATGTTGTAGTAACATTCTCTAGTTAATTACATAACAGCATTGTAACTGCCAAGTGCCCATAAAATCAACCTCGAGCTTTTAGAAACTGGCCAGTAAAATTTAATTCTGACGTTTTCATTAGGCACACAATATAGTAAAGTTTTGACTTTTTAAGATGTTTTAAAATTGAATTTATTGGAATGACTGGTTAATAAAATGATGTAGGTTTCAGGTATGCAGTTCTATACACATCATCACACTACTGTTGACTTGATGCCATGTCTTGTACAGATGTCAACTTTGAAATATGTAAACAGATCAAAAATTTAAAACCCCCCTCCATACCCACACAAGAAAAACAAACAGGACTGAATGAATTATTAGTGCCTAGAATGCCCAGCAGAGCAAAACAGCATAATTTACGCTATTAAATATTACATATTACATATTTAATAGCACTGTGTGTTCACCCCCTAAAGCAAGTCTTCCATCACCATTTGTCCCCGCCTTGCACTCTTCCTCCCCCAACCCCCTTCCCTCTGGCGGTCACTGAACTGTTGTCTGTCCATGACTCTTACTTTACTTAATCCCTTCACCTTTCTCACCCAGCCCCCTCCTTTTAAGACTTCAAAAAATTTTTTTTCAATTACAGTACTTTCAGGTGTACAGCATAGTAATTGGACAATCATTCAGACACAAAGTGCTGTATGTGTTTAAGTCAGTTTGAAATTTTTATTGGCTGATAAAGAGCTGCCACACTTTCTTCTAATTCATGCTGCTATTTCTGAATTTAATTTGCATAAAGACCAAAAATTTTATTTAACAGAATTTGAAGATGGGGGAAATGCTTATGGTTAGAAAATAAAACTTATCTCAGAGAAAATTTTTCTTGGTACATCATAGTATAAAATACAGTTTTGTCTTCCACTTAGAAACTGAAAAACACCTACTTAAAATGTCTTTGGAAGGCTGCCCCGTTTTGCAGTGTGTGCTCTTCCAGATTCTTTTGGGTTCAGATGTTGAAAGGCCTTCCATGTTCCCGTTTCCCGTGTCTGAGGCCTGCACCTCCCAGTTTTCAGCTTTCTGACATCTTATCAAGAATTAGCAGAGGGGCAAGAATCCTTGCCCGATTTGTTTCTACAATGCAGCCATTCAACACCATCTCATCCAAAATGATGTATACTTTATCCAAATTAAACATTATCTAGGGTCATATTAAGGAAAATAATTTTAGAGTTATAAAAGTGTTAACATTAAGTAATAACTTAGGACTCAGCCTGGAATTGTTCCAGTGTAAATTAGTCTAAGCATGAAGGTTTTTTTTTTTAAAAAACAGAATCCTTGAAATAAAATTTAAAATTGGGGTCCATATTAGAAATTATGTTCACGTACACATATACACCTAGTTACACCTTGGTGAGGCTAACTAGACTTAGGCAGAGAATGGAACAGCTATACCCATTAGCCAGAGGGAGAAGGAATCGGCACACTAAGAGCAGGAGAACTTAACAAGTGACATTCGGTGAGGCCATCACCTGGCCTCAAGAACAATGTTGTCTCCACAGACAATAGCAACAGTAATAGCCATGATTTCTTGAACACACATTATATTCTATGTACTGTGTTGTGTGTTTGACATGTTATTTCAGTCTTCTCCACAGTTCTGTGGTGTATGTGTTACCCTAATTTTACTCAAGAGCAAACACGCTCAAAGCCATTGTCTAGGGTCACATAACTAGTAGTTGCCAGAGCTGGACCTTCAGCCCAGAGTATGGCCTTGAGTGCTCGGCCTTCCGTTCTCAGGGGGCCCTGAGGCTACTGAGTACACAGCCTCATTCAGCCCTGAAACCTCCACCCAGAAATGCCTTTACAACCTCAAATATTAAGCTACCATCTACATCAGATACGCTGAATAAAAAAATGACCAGGAAGAGGAACAAATGAGAAGGCAAAGCACTGCTGACTCAGTTCCCAAACAAAAAAACCTGAATTTCTAGATAGTACCTCTAATAAATGGGCAGTTCTAAAAAATACTCGCTTGAGAACTGTGGAGCCACTTAGCTTACTGATGTTCTTAATGGAAAGTTAGTACAGGGCATGGGAGGAGAAGAAAATATTGTCGGCCCATGATACCTACCTAACTAGTTAGGAGACCCTTCATTTGAGTACCTGACTTTCCTTTTGTGAAAGAGGAACTGGAATGAGATGATAACGATGGTTGAATGTTTATGAATTCTAAGTTTCCATCACTGTTTAAACAGTATTATCCTGGACAGTATTATCCTGGTCTATTAAACAGCTGACAGGTTGTTTCAAATAGACAAACTTCATTCAACAAATGAGTGATTAAATGACCCAGGGGAGTTCATAATTGATAGTGAATCTTTGTACAGTAATTTCACATGTTGAAGTCTATACTGTATATGATTAGTGAATTACATCAGTATAGAATGAGACAACCCTGTGAATGACTTTTAAGATTCTATTAGACTCTGGGGTGATATCCCATTAAGTTCTGTGCAAATAGTTTTCCAGCAGAATAAACTTTTTCAGGAGCCCATGGGAATTGTCCTTAAGTGACCCAGAAAAAAAAAAAAAAAGCTTTATTCTGTTATACCTATTAATAATATCTCCCAATTATACAGATGATTGCTTTGTCCATGGCCAAACTGGGACTGAAATATTAGGCCCTCGACTCAGTCATCTGTGTTCCCCAGACCCAGAAGCCAGAACCCAGAAGAAGCCAAGACAAAGCAGGAATAAGACAGGCACGTACAAGGCAAGGCCGAGTGGAGGAACCCAGGTGGTCGCATGTAAAATGGCCCGTGGAACCCCCTGTTGTATTCACTAAGCGCGATGAAAACCTTGGTGCCTTTGGGAATGTCAATTCATCTAAGACAATTTTCTTTGAGACAGAGGAGATCTAATTTTAATCTATGTGAACTGAATTGGTTCAGGGATCAAGCTACTTTGAAGATGCTCTCATCTTTGGGAAGTGCATTCAGATGTTCCCTGGGCAACTGTCCAACTGTTTTGAAGTTCAGATTAAGAATTTACGGCTGAATCATATCTACCACTGACATCCACTGACATCCTCACACTTGCAAGGACAAGGTCCTTCAGCTAATCTGAATTTCCCAACATCCTGGAAACATGAGTTGCTTGCTCAGTGAGGTCATTTTGTACTGTGGGCATGTGACTGTCTATCTGAGTATCTGGCTCAAACCTCTAATAATCATGCAGCCTTCTGGCACTATATAGGGAAACCACAGACCAAATCCAATGTGAGGCAAAAGCCTGAAAGCTTATTCCCCCCTGGAATCATGGGAACTCCTTTAAAATAAGAATCCAGCTGTTGGTCACATCTTGATTTGGTTTATGAGCAACTTGTGCACATTGGTGAGGCCAAGAGTAATGGCATTTGGGCTATATGCCAGGTGAGCAGGGACCAAAAATACCCTATATGCCAAGCCCCATGGCAATAAACAGGCACACGCACTTCAGCCCTGACGTCAGGAACAAGACAACACGAGAAACACCTAGGCTGCTGGCCTATTAATGTGGTGAGGAGAGAATGACTATTTCAAGAAGGTCCTACCTTTAGGCTACACTGAACTTGACTGACTTAAAAGGTTCTTAGGTTGGAGGTGATATGAACTAGCAATAGCCTCCTGGAGAGAAGATTCAGAAGCCTACTATCTCCTAACCCAGAAACCTAGAAGCCTTTCTGGATGTCTGTAACATACATTAGAGTTGAACATCTTGAGGCCCCACTAATAATGGTGCCATTTGAAATCAATATTCTTAATTAAAGTGATTGAACTGTTTGTGGTTTCTATATAGGAATTTTGATCTCTGAATCATGAAACACTTTTCATCATGGTATTTTAACAGCACCGTGGTGGCCTAATTATCCTTTAATAAGAGAAAATTGAGCAGCAAACATTCAAAGGGGACCTCACAAGCAATTCCAAGGCAGAGCCCAGCCTCGAACTGGAAATTTCTAACCACATTTTGATCTTGATCTTTTTGTCTTATTTCTTTTCTTTCTCTCTTTTTTTAAGATCCTAGCTAAGCAAAGTTTTAATGCACAAGGGAAGGGAAAAAACTTGCTCTCGTTATTTATACTCTGTTTCAGTTTCCCATAAAGGTAGATAAACTGTGAAAGGCCGCTGCCTTCACATTCTCCACACAACATGCACTATTGCTGTTCAGAAGGCTATTGTCACGACAGATTATGCACAGTCCTGGATACACTCCTTATAATGCAAATCTCATTTACAGGCTTAGTATTGTCTCTCGTTAATTAGGCCACAGAACAGGAATGTACTTTTTTAAAGTAGGTTTTTCCTTAAAGACCCATTCATACTCCAAGAGTAACAAAACATCCAGGTGTAATTTTTTAAAGTTTATATAGGTTTATGGAAAATTATCCAAATAAGAAAGTTGGCATTGGGTCAAATGCATCTGTGATTTCTCCTGTATTATTCCTAACTTGTCTCTCTGAACTGGCTGCCACTATTCCTGAGTAAAACACAACCCAGAAGCATGGGGCAGAAAGCGTGGGGGTTCGGCAGGGAAGCCTGGGGAGGAACAGTAGCGGATGGATGGACACGGCACCTAAAGTTCTCAGGACGCACTGAAAGGAAATAGATGGCTGAGGCTAGTGAGAGCCAAACAAGCCTGGAAGGCAAAACTGTTTAATCTGGAACGTTCACATCCTTTTTCCAGGCGCATGGCTGACTCTCCTAGGGAACTGTTCGTAATTCTCACCACTCACCCCTCGTGAGGGCACAGAGCAGCACTGTCCTGCTGGGGAGGGACCTGACCTCGTCTCCGGCCCCGCCCTTCCTGAGGCTGGACCAGCTGCACCCAGTCCCTGCAGCCCAGGGCCCGCTCTCACCGCTTCCAGTCTTGCTTGCAATTCACATATTTTCAAAGGGAAAAAGACATGTTTAGCAAGCTCTGAATGTGAACCCCACTTCTGGAGAGCATGCTCTCTTACCCAGACACCCAGATAACTCTCCTCAAAATTTTTTTTCACTTCTGACTCCTCCAACCAAATACTAGTGCTTCTCTAAAACTTCTTCCCAAATTCAGGAAAAAGCTTGGACTACACCAAGGCAGCATGGTGGCAGGCACTTTAAAATGTCTTGTTAGCAACTAAATTGCCACAGTGGACTCCAGATGATTATAAAAAAATTTTTTTTAAATGCATGAAATTTAATCATATCTAATTTATAGCCCTAGAGTCAAGGGCCCTGGAAATCCAGAATATCAGCTATGCCTCAGAGTAGCTCTAATGACTGGGCACATGTCAATGGAAACTCTCAGCACCTTGGCCTCTTCATCTAAAAGTGAGGTCTTAACCTGAGAATTCTGTAGTTTTCTTCCACCTCCAAAGTGCTCAAATCCTCTGACTCTAAGAGTAACCTTCAGAAGGGAGAGGAGAGCTACTTCACTCCCTTCTGATAGTATCAAGCCATTCCTGATGCAGGCTCCATCATCCCTCAAAAGAAATCCTTTTGTAAGGACTTAATTATTGTAACTTTCTGAGACAACACTGAGTAAACTTCAGTTCATTTAGAAGCTGCCACTTCACTGTAGAATGGCTTCCCCGGTGGTTAGGAAGGGAATGTCTTTGTTTTTCTTGCCAGTTATTTCCATAGCCAGTAGTTGGACTACTGTGATTTCTCACCAAGTTAGACTGGAATGATTTCCTACTTGCAGCAGACACTTCTGGTTTCTGGACCTCTGAAGGTGTCTAGGATTTCAGAACGATAACGAAGGATAATGAAGGAATGAGATCCACCCTCCAGCCCCGCAGTGGCCAGTGATCATGGCTGCACTGCTGCCATGTGTGGTGGTGCTGATTTCTGTCACCTGGCACACTTCCCCTCCAGGGACCACGTGGGAGATGTAACTGCCTGAGTCACAGCGAGGGCAGGCAGGGCGGAGACCTTCCTACTCCTCACCCTCAATAAAGAGGGCATGAATGGGGGGGGGGGCTTTCACAATCACCCACATAAACTTGAAGGCTCCAGAGTTAATTGCTTAGCTTTTGGGCTTTAAGGACTTGTAAAATAGAAACATGAATGTTCTAAAGGTTTTTCTTTAAATACTTCTGAAATAAAACATTCTGGATTCTAGGCATACCCTGTATTTGTGGGAGAGTGGGCACAAGAATATAAATAGGGAATCCAGCCTGTGTCCTTTTTTCTCTTGCACGTGTGGGTCACCACAGTTAGCATCCCAGCTACCGTCATTCCTGCCCCTAGTCCTGGGGGCCCAGGTAGCTGGAGGATGGTCAAGAAGTGGATGTGGGCCCTGCAGGCTCTGGGCAAGCACCCTCACCCCATGGGGCGGGAAGCAGCTGAAGGCAGGCTAGAGTAGAGCCCCAGGAAGAGGACCCGAGTTGTCCAGGTTAAAGGCAGCAATGCTGCATTCCATTCTAACTGAAATAAGCCAGGTCTTTAAGCCTCTTGAAAGGCACCAAATACCAAAAAGGCTGCTATGGTTTTCTGCACTTTCATGCGTACAGCAGGTATGCGCACATGGAGAGGTCAGATGTCTGCCACATGGCACCACTCGGTGCCGCCCCCATGAGTCAGCAGAAGGGGCCACAGACAGCTCCTTGGAATGATAACTTGTCTGAAGAGCTCAGCAAACCTAAGGCTTCAGGGCGGAGCATATTTCGGGAAGCTTATGAGTTAGTTCCTAAAAACCATCTTTAAAAAAACAATTATTTACCTTTATTTTTATTAAACTAAAAACCATTTTAACTCATGGAATCTGAAGTCTTAAACAAGTCTACCAAAGTATGTAATAGAGCATACTCTCCTTCCAGAAGCAGGGCCTCAGGAATCTGCAGATGACATTTCAGCCCAGTGGGTACAGTGGAATGTGAAGGGGGTGCAGGGATTTATTCATGGCATGTGAATGATCTGGGTCATTGACGTGCTTACTCCCCAGGGCGTGGTCTGCCCCACCAGCATGCCTGCGACAGAGTTTGCACTTAGCAGAAGGGTTTTCAACAAGTCAATTTCTGTCCTGATTTTTGTGCTTAGGTTGTCTCTTTATAAATCCCATCCCACCTTGCTCTATGAAGCAGAACAAGCTCACACTAAGGAGAAATGTAAATAATGCCTATTATTTCTCAAACTCTACCCATGCAGACTCTGGCTCCAAGGCAGGGAAGCTTCTAGAAATAAAGACTAACTTCTGTCCTCCTGCCGCCGCACCAAAACTGAGCCTTAAATTGTGCCTGTCCCGTGGGGGCTGACGGGGAGGCTTTCGTAAGCTCGAGCGCACACATGAGTATGTGCTTTGAGTGCTGGGAGGACCAACTTCAGGTTGTGATATCAGTTGTCTGTTTTCAACCCTTCAAGTACTACGGAAGTGTTCCGGCACACCAGACCTGAACAGCGTTACATGTTCCAGCAGGTTCCGGGTGCCATGCTGCCAGGGTGGTGGCACAGGTCGTCTGGGGCCTTACACGGAGAGAGCAGGAAACCAGCTGCCCCTCTAAAAGGCTCCCCGGTCTCACTGTCGTGGAAGTGGCATGTAGAGGTGCTCCCCACACACATGACAGGTACAAAGGAACTATGTCTGAGGCAGAGTGGACTCAGGGGCTTTTAATTTGATTTTTTTTCAGATGGCTGAAGATACAAACGCTTTAAGAATGTTAGCAGAAGAGAGGTGACCCAGCCCCTGCCTGGCCTGTCACCTGCTCCACTTTCAGAACTTTGGAGATTTCCGTGAAATTACACCTAGAGAGATGCAGTTCCCTCCTCTAAAAGATGCAAAATCCCTGATCTGTCAGATGGATGTGCTTAAGTAATTCCTCAGGACAGTAAATAAATTGGTCAGAGCAAGAGAAGGCAAAATGACACTAAGTAAAGTGAAGGGAAAGGTACAAATTGTGTGCCTCGGTATGGAAATTAAAATCAAACGAGAATGCTGGAGATTGTTACATGGACCTGTGCACCAGAGAGACAAAGACAAACCCATCTCTATTTCTGATAAACACCTAGTCAACATATGAGACGCATCAGCACAGCTAGTCCAACTGCACTCCAAACCCTGTCACATCGGATTCGCTTTAACTCTCTGAATGTCTACACTCGTGAGACCCTCCCCTCCTGTTCCAGGTGGAAGGTAACTCAGCTCAGTTACCTAGAGTCGTGGCAACATCAAATGTTAAGGCTGAGCGGATTTGAAAGCTCTTCGAATCTAAATCCGCCATGAGCTGTTGTGTGTCTTGTCCAACACACCCAGCTGGTAGGTGGCAGGGCTGGAAGCAAACTGTGGGCTCTGCATTCCCAGGGGAGTATCTACCAGCTTTCACTACCTTGCTGACGGCTTTTTAGGTCAAGAGGCACTTCTGGTTCTCCTGTACAAGGAGGAAGAGGTTTATTTGGGAATGCTTTAAAGGGCTTGGTTAAAATGGAATGTTACATGCTGATGATGTACATGTAGCCTGGCCTTGGACCTCCTAGGTCAAAGGGATCACAGACTCGGGTCACTCACCACTAGAGGGCACTCAGATTTTCCCAGTTCATTTTAAAAGGCTTCCAAATACTGCTTACAAGTAAGTCCATCAACATGACATTTCTATCAGTAGTAAAAGGCAAATGGCCGTTTTTCCAGACTATACTGACTCTGGGCGTAGGTGTCTAAATTATGTATGTATGCATATACATACGCATGTTAGGATTAATATATGGTTGATATAGTTAAGGTTACTATTTTAGATTCAAGCCTGGTGTTTTCTCAAAGGACTCTTACTTATTGCTTTCAAGTGGTGAGCAATTTTTGAAGGAAAAAATAACTTAAAAGCCAGCTTGCCTTTGGACCACTCACACAAAACCCAGCAGGCCCCTGCCCAAACCTGCAGGCCCACAGTGTTCTAAGCAAGAAATGCTTATTGTTGGGACCCTTGGATACTTTGATTTAAAAGGGAGAAGAGAAGAAAGGAGAGCATTCCTGCTTCAAAGGGAGATGAATAAAAGCCAGGCAATTTCTTTCACCCTCTAGCTTATATTCCTCACGGCACTACTCTGACCACGTGGAGAATTCCTGGAGATTCACACCTGGAGCCAGGACCACCCATTCTCTCCTTGAGGACCAAGACTTCCTGCCTGCATTATTAAATTCTAAAAAGTATATTTCATATACTTAAAAAAAGTTAAATTAACATATAACAGTTATTATTATTTATTACTACCATAGAATTGCCCTGTCTGAAAAAACACGAAAATCTTCAGAACAGTCTTTGTGAAGAAAAGGTGGGGTGTTTCTGCAAAGCACCTGCCTCTCTAGCTATCAGGTCTGAGCTGTTGATGATTAGCATTCTAGAGTCTAGATTTTGCTACATTGTTTTCCTGCCCCACCGCACTTACGGCACTTACCTGATAAAGACTAGCTTCAGTTTTGCCAAGTACTGTGGAAAACCTGGCTCACAGCACTGAAAAAGGATACATCCAATTCACTCTGCAAGAGAGAAAAGGGTTCGAGGAATGAGACCCTGGGACACCGGGCACTTAGCAGAGTTAGTGGCTGCTCTGTCCATATACACCTGGAAGCAGGTGGAAGAGGCTACTTTGTGTGCAGAAGCGTGAGAGTGGAAAGCCCTGAGTTTGGGGTTATGACTTTAAAAACATATGCTGCCGTTAGGAGGAATTTTATAGGCCAGAACAATTGTCTTTAGAACACAGAGGGGATAAACTAACTCAAACTTTACAGATGACAGGTAATTTGTTTTGATAGGATTATCAAAAACCTTAATAATGTGTATACCCTTTGAAGCCATCGATCTTATCCCTAGAAGTTTATCTTAAGGAAATAATTAGATAACGGCACAACAGTGTGTGACAGGATACTCAGGGTGATGTTTACAGTAGAAGATCACTGAAAACAAGGGGGACTAGTTAAAAACTTAGAGCAGATACACAAATGATGATGTCAATGTGTAAGTAATGACATACTGGTGAAAAGTAAAGCAAGTTATAAAGTGGTAAATACAGTGTTACCCTGTGCACGTCCGCACACACGGAGGTCAATGCAGGCAGTCAGACACAGACACACATAAAGCGTGACAGGAACGCACCAACAACGTGCACCAGGAAGTAAGTGATGGGCTTACTGATCTCCCCTTTCCATCCCCCTAGATGTATTTTTAATTTCTTTCCATGAACACAGACATTCATGTCATGAAAAAGTCACAGAGGGAGAACAAAAAGCAAACAGTTAAATTCATCTTGGAAAGGAATTAAGGCCTGTGGCGTGCAGCACTGCCTGCACTTCTGCAGCAATAGCCCTCAGCTCTGGAGAAGCTGCCTCCTTTAACGCTACCCGGGCTGGCTTTTGGCTTCGACTCGTGATGCTGAGACGCTTCCTTCAGCCCAGACTGTAGCAGGAGACAGATCTCCAAATGTAAGATTTGGAAACTCTGAGATTAAAAATAGTCCCAGAAAGAATGTTTAAAACTCAGAAACCTAAAAATAAATTTTAGATGACAAGGCATTCTCCATGAGTGGGGCGGTTTCTATTTTCTTTCCCATAGTACTCTTTTCCCTCCTCTTTCTCTTCTTTTTGTATCTCCTATCATCCTGAACTGGGTCCTCCAAGTCCTATATAATCACCAGGTTTAAATTAAATTCTAAGCTTTACTTCTGTGGCTTATGTGGTCACTGACTCTCCCTAGAATTACAGCTGGAATTCAACAACACGCTATTTATGTTCAGTTATTGAATATGATAATGATAATTTAAAAAACCTTAGCAATGATAGTGCTTGCAGCCACTCTTTACTCCCCCAGGTTTAAAACATTGCCAATTTGGGAAATTACATTCTTCTTGATAGGTGTTCCCTTAAAGTGGTTAATCACGGCCAGCTCTGAGTCACAGACCCTGACTCGCGACCAGTCTGTGCTGGGGGGCGGGGAGTGTCCGGAGGTGGGCAGGAGCGAGTCACACTGCCCAATATGGTAACCACCGGCCTCGCGTGGTGACTTAAATTTAATTTAGTTAAAATTAAATAAAAGTAAAGTTCCTTGTTTACACTGATCACATTTTAATCGTTCACGAGGTACATGTAGCTAGTGCCTACAGCATTGGCCAGCACAGGTACAGAACATTTCTGGAACTACTGAGAAGTTCTCTTGGATACTGCTGGTCTGTGGTGCTCTATCCAAGCAATCAATACAGAGATGGATTTCAAAGCCAACTTCAGTGCTCTCTGTCCCCACAAAGCCAGTCTCTGGAATGGCCAACTACGAGGTTTGGAGGGCACCAATCCCCTCCTAGTTAGAGGCACAATCGTGGTACAGAGGCCACCAGGCAGCTTCCCAGCTGCAGCATGGGAATTAGGAAGCAGCTGACAGTAAGGCTTATGCATTAAGGCAGTGGTTCTCAGACAAGCATGGATCAGAATCACCTGTACAGCTCATTAAAACAGACTGCTGGGCCTCAACCCAGTGTCTCTGGGTCAAAAGACTGGGGTGGACCCAGAATTTTTATTTCTTTTTTTAAAATTTTATTTATTTATCTTTAGAGGGGAAGGGAAGGAGAGAGGGAGAGAAATATCAACTTATGGTTGCCTCTCCTGTGTCCCTGCTGGGAACTGGCCTGCAACCCAGGCATGTGCCCTGACTGGGAATCAAACCACGATCCTTTGGTTTGCAGGCTGGCGCTCAATCCGCTGAGCTACACCAGCCGGGGCTCAGAATTTTTATTTCTTACCAGTTCCTAACTGATGCTTCTGCTGCTCGTCCAGGGACCACACACTGAGATCCTCTGCACTGAGGCAAAGCAGACACGCTAATTGATTGTTCCATGAAGGAGTTTGCCAAATGTCACTTCTGGCATTTGGAGTTACACTGACGATAAAACTTCTTTTTTTTAAAGATTTTATTTATTTATTTTTACAGAAAAGGGAAGGGAGGGAGAAAGAGAGGGAGAGAAACACTAATGTGAAAGAGAAACATCAGTTGGTTGCCTCTCGTACATGCCCCAACCAGGGACAGAACCTGAAACCCAGACATGTGCCCTGACTGGGAATGGAACAGGCGACCTTTTGCTTTATGGGAGGACACCCAACCAAGCAAGATAGCAGTTAGGGGCAAGATATGACTTCTTAACATGGGTTTTGCCCTTAGCAGGCTTTAGTGCACTCAATGTTACTAACTATGGGTTCTACTCACTGTCTCATGAATCACCAAGTTGGAAACAAGGCCCTCCTGATCACTGTATTTAAAAGCAAAATGAAATAAAGCAAATAATTTTTAAAAATCAGCTTGTGCCACTTTTACTTCTCAGGAACATCTAGCCAGCGCAGAGGAAGGCCTATGGTAGCAGAGTAAAATTGCTGATTCTTTTTATAAAGACTACTGATTTCAAACTAACTACAAAGCTAAAGTCAGCAAAAGAGTGTGGTCCTGGCAGAAGGATAAACACACAGATCACGGAACAGAACCGAAAGTCCAGACATAAACTCTTATATTTATGGTCAATTGATTTTTGACAGAGGGGCCAATATACTTGAGTGAGGGAAAAGAACAGCCTTTTCAACAGATGGTGTTGGGACAATTGGATAGCCACATCCAAAAGAATGAAGTTAGACACTACTTCACACCACGTACAAAAATTACTCATAATGGATCTAAGACCCAAGCAGGAGCTAAAACTATAAAACTTTAAGAAAACAGGAGTGAACCTCAATGACCTCTAGTTGGGCGAGGCCTTTTTAGACATGACATCAAGAACATAAGCAACAACAACAACAAAATTAATTAACTGAATTTCATCAAAATAAAAAGTTATTATACTTCAAAGGGCACCATCAAGAAAATGAAAATGACTAAATGGGAGAAAATATTTCCAAATCATATCTGATAGAAGACTTGTATTCCGAACACAGAAAGAACTCTTACACCCAACAATAAAAAGACAATGCAATTGAAAAATGGATAAAGGATTTGAACAGACATTTCTTCAAAAAAGATATACAGATGGCCATTAAACACATAAAAAGATTCTCAACATTTTATCCATTAGTGAAACACAAATCAAAATCTCAATTCATTAGCCTCTATACCACTTTCCCCACTAGGATGGCTATAATAAAGAAAGACAGATAATACGTTTTGGTGAGGATGTGGAGAAATGAGAACTTTTCATATACTGTTGATGGAAATTTAAATCATGCAGCACTTTGGAAAAGTTTGACAGTTTATCAAAATGGTTTAAAATTAAAAAAAATTTCAATTACAGTCGTAATTAAATATTATATTAGTTTCAGGTGTACAGCATAGTGGTTAGACATTTCTATAATTTACAAAGTGATCACCCTGATAAGTCCAGTACCCGCCTGGTACCACACATAGTCACCACAATATTAGTGACTATTCCCCGTGCTGTACTTTACATCCCCATGGCTATTTTGTAACAACCAACTGCATTTCTTAACCCCTTCCCCTTTTTCACCCAGCTCCCTAACCCCCATCCCATCAGGCAACCATCGGTTTGTTCTCTGCATCTGTGAAAATGCTTCTGTTTTGTTTGTTCATTTATTTTGTTTTTTAAATTCCACATATAAGTGAAATCATATGGTATTTGTCTTTCTCTGTTTAACCTACTTCACTTAACATAATATCCTCTAGGTCTATATACGCTGTTGCAAAGGATAAACTTTCATTCTTTTTTATGGCTAAGTAATATTTCATTGTATATATGTACCACATCTTCTTTATCCAATCATCTACTGATGGACACTTAGGTTGCTTCCATAGCTTCGCTACTGTAAAAATGCTGCAGTAAACACAGAAACGCATATACCTTTTTGAATTGGTGTTTTGGATTTCTTCAGATAAATGCCCAGAACTGGGACTGCCCGGTCATATGGTAGTTCTATTTTTAATTCTCTGAGGAACCTCCGTAGTGGCTGCACCAGTTCAAAATGTTAAACATGGAGTTACTGTGTCATCCAGCAATCCCTTCCCTAGGTACATTATATACCCAAGAGAACTAAAAACATGATTCTACAACAAAAAAAAGTGCTCACAAATGTTCATAGCAGCATTTTTCCTTAATACCCAAAAGTATAAATAGCCCAAATGCCTACCAACTGATGAATGGTATAAACAAAATGTGGTATATCTGTACAATGAAATGCTATTTGGCAATATAAAGGAAACAATTACTCATACATGCGACAACATTGATGAATCTTGAAAACTTTATGCTAAGCAAAAACAGCCAATCACAAAAGACCACCCATTGCACAATTTTATTTATACAAAATGTCTAGAACAGGCAGACTTACAGAGAAAGAAAGCAGATTGGTGCTTAGGGCCTGCAGCAGGTGGTGATGGATAACTGGGAAGGAAAAGCTAATGGCTATGGTATTTTCTTTTGGGGTGATGAAATGTTCTAAAACTGACTGTGGTGACAGGCGCGCCACTCTGGATCCTAAAAACTCAATACTTAAGTGGGTGAATTGTTTGGTATGTAAGTTATATTTCAATACAGTTGCCTTTTATTTTTTTTAAAGGACTATTGGAAAGGAACTCCTTTCCTTAAGAGGAGTCATAGGAGTTGGTTTTGACCTTGAAAGCAAGGGTTTGGGCAGAAATGATTTAAATTAAAACAAGTCCTAGTATTTTACAAGGGGAAGCAGAAGAAAGAGGAAAAGAGAGCAAATTTGATAGCAGAATCTCTTAATTGAGAGAAAGTCCTAAGAGGCTCTTAGTCTTGTAGAAATGATTCTCTACAAAGAATTGACGCATGCGTAGTTTTTAACACTTTGCATGAGCCAGAAGCAAAGGTAAAGAAAATCTGCCATTATTTGAATTTTAACTTTTACATATTAAAGCTCTGTATTAACACATGTTCTCGATAGAGACCCATTTCTGGGAGACTGGCCTCAGGACAAAGCCATTTTTTAGTCATGAGACTTACCACTCGACTGAAGTACTCATCTAAAACTTCCACAAAGTTATGGATAAATTCATAAATCGCCATCTCATTCTGAAATGAAAAGGGAAGGACGCAGTCAGTTTTAGAATGGCCCGTGTTTAAATCAGACATGAGCTGTCGGGTCAAAAACCAGGTTCTAGAGCACGTGGCTTGATATGCAGATAATAATGGGGGCAGAGTGGCCTCCCAGAGACAAGTCTTCAGAACAGTTTATGACTCACTTGTTTCACGTAAGTTTATTAAGAGAAAACCTCAACCTCTAAAATTTTTTAATGTGCATGATGAATCTAGCAGGACTGAAATGGGGCTGAGTCCAGTGTTCAGAAGTCAGCTCTACTCCCTGACTTCATCAACAACTGGCTGAGGCACAATTTCTCAGGTTCTGCACGACATCACTTTTCCATCAATGAAGATGGGGAAACCACCTTAAAGTTTACTTCGCCGATGAAAAGCTGAGATTTCAAAGTATTTTAGATCCTAAACACCCTTTCGGAGATTCCATAGCCATTGGTGCTGTTGATCTGGGACTGACATTTCTGAAAAGGTTAACTAAAATCTAAGGAGATGTAATCACAACACAATGATACACAATTTGCCTCGCTTCTGATATGTCAGCCTGTGCTTAATTCCACCACTGACTGGCCACTATCCTGGAGAAGCTGCTCCACATGCCACACCCGACAATGGCAGGGCACTAGTACCACTCGGGCCGCGGAAGGCTTTCTGTGGTTTTGTACTTCTCCACCAGCTGCTTATCTAATCCAATGCAAATCTAGGTATTTCTCTTCCACTCGGCTTTCTGTAGCCTTGATAGAAACCAAAATCCTTCAGCCCTGGCCAGGCAGCTCAGCTGGTTAGAGCATCATCCAGATATGCCAAGGTTGTGGGTTCAGTACCTGCTTAGGGTATACACAAGAATCAACCAATAAATGCACAGCTGGATGAAGCAACAAATCAATGCTTCTGTCTCTTAGATCATATAAAATGAAAAAAATTTAAATCATTTTGTTGTTCAAGTACAGTTTTCTGTCTTTTACCCCCATCCTAGCCCACCCCCCTAAAATGACATTTTTTTAAAAACTGGAAAAAATCAACATAAATCTTAAGGAGGCAAGTAGGGAAGTAAGTGTCAATGTAAGGAGAAATAAAAATCAGACTGTTATGCCTAGTTTTTTTGCATCTTCCACAGGCTCTTCTATTTTCTTACCTCAGTGTCATTAACTCCAACCACAATGAAGAGAGCAGCATACTGCCGATATATCAGCTTGAAATCCTTATATTCAATGAAAGAGCACTGGACAAAGCACAATTAGATATTAATTGCTATAGTTGACAGGGATTTCTTCAACATGGCATGCATAATTTTTAGGTTCTTATTTGAGTATCTGTCAAGACATTCCTAGAAATACCCAACATTACAACGTCACCGTCTTTGCTGGTTGCACCTCCTCGCAGTGCTCAGCGCACCACTTGGAAGCACTTGCAGCAGGAGGTGAAAAGTCTGCGTGCTCACGTAGGTTCCCGCCTACGCCGCTTCTCTTTCATTTGCTTGGTTCTGTGTGGAACTCAGCAGGCAAAGCTACTAAATAATCAGCTATTTAAACGTCCTCCAACATGAAAATAAATCAACACGACAAGATTTTCTTCTCTCCACCTCCCCTAGGCTCTTTTGGAAGCAGCTAGGGATTTAGTTTTGTACTATTTAACAGTCACTGAAGAGCCAAATATATGTAGCATACACACACACACAAAACAAAACAAAACTCAGTTTCTTTTTCCTAGACACACAGACTCAATGTAGACTCTTTTATAAATTATTTAAAGATGGCTTTTGTGTGGCAATGCTAGACAAAATCTCTCATTGTAAACAGTGCTTCCCATGAATTAATAACTAGTTTACCACCACGGACTTGTGGAGAAAACAGCTCCCTTCCCACTTGTCTGTCTCCTACAGTCACTGTACAAAGAGTAACGGGAAGGCACTGGGTGGACAGGAACTGGGGAGCAGTCTGAAGGCAGAGCCTGCCCTTCCTTTGGCCTTTTGGGTGTGCCTGACCAAACGTGCCTGAGCACCAGCTGTATGGCCTTTTGCACTGGACATGTTGCTCTCGGGTGCCCGGATGCACCTGGGAATGAAGCTGCAAGTTTGGATCATGGAGTTTCTTCCATGGGAAAGCCACCTGACAAACTATAAAATGGAGAGAGATGAGGCTTTTATTTAAAATTAGGATAAATGTAATAAGTACCAGACCATTCTGCAGCTTCTGGCTCACTGTAGAGCCAGTGTGATTTCTAGTCAGTTGGATCTTCCAAAGAACCACAACCTATTTGAATGAACTGAGGAACATTTTTCAAATCCTCTCAGGAGTTCCTGACATTAAAAATATATATTAAAGCACCTTTGTGGAGAAAATAAAAACTAAGCTGAGATTAGGCTATTCTGGTGCCTGATTATGCCAAAAGCCCCGTGGGTTTCTATTAAAGTCTAAAATAATTTAAAATGCTTCAAAAATATCTAACAGTATATTCATTGCAAAGCACATATTTCAAAGGAGAACCTATCAGTGAAAAAGGTGTTTGAAATCATGGAGCTGAAATTACAGGAAGATTCAAACGTGAATCTCCTGGAGCTTGTTTATCTTCAAGTCGTGGGTATTTACACAGCCCTTTAATAGTTTCTGTTTCCTCTGACAACTACACGCAGTAGTCCATAGCAGGCCAAAGTAGTAATTCAAAGAAGACTCTTGAGATGTCTGACTGGAAAATCAATTCAGAAGCCAAGGGAAACTCAGTTCCAATGTATTACTTTGAAGCACTGATGTAGCTTAATATGTTATGACTTAGTGCTTCCCACAGGCAGCCCTTCTGTGTAGGTAGTGAAATGGAGAACTGGCAAAATGAGTGGGTGTTTTAAACAAGCTTTCTGATTGTGCCTCAGTTTGTTCAGAGATTTCCAATGGCTTCAAAGTTCAGGTCCCAGATTAGGTAATTCTTCAATTAAAGTTCTTTGCAAAAATAAACTCAGCTTTAGAAATTCCTATTATTATTCTTTTAATGATTTAATTTAACCTCAATTTTGGCAGAATAAATGGATTTATTGTTACATTTTTTAACATCCATTTTTCCTGTCTGCATAATAAAACAAGACAGGTGGAAATCAAGTCTGTTTTTAAATCACCAGTTCCCGTATTCTGTGGGTGGTACATTCACAGAAACGGTAAGCAGAAAGAACTGCACCCCACATGAGAACCACACTGCTATCCTCTGGCACAAAGTGGGTCTTTGCCTCTGTACTGGTCACCTGACCTTCAGCTTTTGGCTTAAAGAAAGCCTCCTGCTACAGGCACTCCTAAGAGTTCCAAGGGTTGAATGCATAAAGACAAAGAAGTTATGTCTACTGGCAGGAATACATTTGAGTTGCCACTTCTACCGTTCATTGAGACAAATATGCTGACCTAAATATGAAGCCAAGACTGTCCCTGGCTTTCTTTGTTTTTATTTTCCTTAACAAGATGTAAGGAGATGTAAGGAGAGCTATGCTTCACTTTTCATTCCATTTCACTTGCCATTTTCCCTAACAGCTGTTGTAAGAATGCAGTTCAAAGAAAACGATGGTCCTTGAGACACAGTAGTAACAGATTTGCCCCTGCTGAGTGTAGAGATAAGAGAGAGAATCAGAAACTTACTTGTTCATTGGATCGAGAGAGACAGCTCTTTATGACTTCTGTTTCCAGAAGTGTACGCTTATTGATCTCCACATGTTCGTAGTACTTAGAGAGTCGGGTCTGCCCTTGTTTATTCACCATGAGGAAAAATTTTATCATTTTTTTTTCCTGGCCAGTGTTTTTCCAAATGTAGGTCAAAAGTTATGGCCAGGGGTGGCTGTAACTAGAACCTGAAGGAGGAAAGAACAGAAGGGCAAGATCAAATTTCTCAAAGAATCATATTAAATGTGTTCTATAGATGAGCAAGAAATAAATACAGTGTCTTCTGATATCATTGGTCTTCACTATGATGAACTAAATGAAGTTTTACTAAATAAGGAAACATAAATGGTTATTAGTTATCTTTCAAAATATTTTTGAGTATCCACAGTACCTCTACTCATATCTGTTGCATCGATTCATCAGTCTTGTTGGACACCAACTATGTGCTAAGAACTGGAAGAATATGGAGAAAAAGAAGTAATGATTTCTGCTCTTCACACCTGGTAAAAGTGTTAGATAGATAAACGACAGCAATCCAAGGTGATGAGTTGTAACTGGTACACAGAAGGGAAGGACAAGGAACATGGCGGGAGAGTTGGGAATGGCTTCCCAAAGAAGGGATACTTAAAAAGTCCTTAAACAATGATAGAGAGGAAATGATGCTGAGGCGGAGAAAACAGGTGTAAAGCTCTGGAAAGTTCGCTGTAGCTGTAGTTCGGGGTGCAGGAAGAATAGTCACAGGAAATTGAGTTGCTCATACATGGTGAAATTGGCTTTCGAAGTCATGCTCAGGAATATGACCTTTGTTTTATGGACAATGGAAACAAGACCTATGTAGAGAAGCTTTTCCCTCCTAAGTGTTGGAAGCAGTGATCATGACAGCAACTATCTGTCGAAGTCCTCTAACAAGGCTGTGTAACAAGTCCTATAAGGCTTTGTACTAAGCAGTTTACATATGTTGTTTAACTTTCACAATTCTCTGAGGCAGGTACTTCTGTTATCCCCATTTAAAGGACAAGCACATTGAGGTGAGGGATGTTAAGACACTCAGAGTCCCTGGATTACTCTGTGTCAGATGCAAGCTGCAGCTTATAGGACGAGCATGTGTGTGGGCCTATGATAGCCTTGAACTCATCCTCATCACTCAGGGGTCCATGCTCGTGGTTTCGTTTCCAGGTCAGCTGTATGGAATCTCATGTTTGTCCCTTTTATAGATTAATATAGATTTTTAAATACAGATTTTGAAATAATCAATTGCAAAAAAGCACAACATTGACCAATGGCCAGTCCATCTTTCGTCATGAATATCCAAGCTGCCTCAATGAATCATCTGACAATATCATAGTCACATTTCGTAGTATGTGTGAAACCAGTGCAAAACACCAAGGCTAACAATACCTCTTAAATAAACTTTAAAATTTAGAATAAGTTCAGAAAAAGTTGCCACAGATTATGAGGATGATGCTTGGACTAAGTTTTTTGTCACCCCAGCTCATCTCTTATTTCCTCAGCTCTACCAGACAGGTGGCTGTGTCACAACAATCCAAAGAGAAAGCACCAGGCCCAGTCTGGCAACGCCTGGGGTTGCTGTGTTCATTCAGTGTGCAGAACAGGATGTTATCTAGACCAGCTCAGCAGGGATACAACAGCTGTGCCGTGGGGGAGGCTGGGTCATCCACTCTCTTTTCCAGGAAGATAAACTCACTACCATAGGTGGGATTGCAACATACTCTATGTTGTTTAATCATCTGGTATTAGGTGCTGCTGTTTTTTAAAAATATAGTGATTTGAGAGAGAGAGAGGAAGGGAGAGAAAGAGAAATATCAATTTGTTGTTCCACTTATTTATGCATTCATTGGTTGATTCTTGTATGTGCCCTGACCAGGGATCGAACCCGCAACCTCGGCATATTGGGTTGACACTCTAGCCAGCCGAGCAATCCAGCCAGGACCATGTGCTGTTTTTATTCTCTTCGCAAATTATTGCCAGTAAATTAAGGCAAGTGACTAGTAAGTTAAGATTATGATCCTTTTAAAAATTTCTTTTCAACAAAGTTATTTTAAGACCGCATTTATGAAAGTTGGAAATTACAATTCTATACCCTGAATTTCAACCGCCAGGTAAAAGAAAAAAAATATTGTCTCAAAGGAATTCATGTCTAACTCTTTCCCTTTAAATGCCCTGGTTGCATTAAGTGGTAAAATAAGATGTAAAATGATCCCATTGAGATGTTACACCGAGAGATCAAATTGGTTTCTACCTTACGAGCAGGGCATTCCTTCCTACTGACTTCAAGAGTGAGGACAACAAACAAGGATGCGGAGAATTGATACTCATTTGGGTTCAAGTCTTGAAAATAGGAGCTGAAGGCATCTGAAGATTTGAATACAACACTATTTTTGCATACTTATAAATAATTACACAATATATAACTGTACAATTATACAGTGGTAATAAAATACACAAAATTATCCATTTTTTGTATTATAAAATATATGCCAAGATATACAATGCAGAAACTCAGAACAAGTATATATTTTAGAACTGAAGATGAATGTTTTAAGCATTTATTTGGCTTACTAATCATCAGGGAGGAGGGAGATCAAATAATTATGAAACTGAGGCAGGGCAATAAGGAATAAGTTCAGACAAGTGCTGGGAGTGGTGAGGGAGCAGGTATGAACTTCCTTTCCTTATAAACTCTCTGCATTCAACAAGAACCAAGGTTGGGAGATATTTTGATAGTCAGGAAGTTAGATTCCACACCCAAGAGCCTGTGTGAATGTGCAAAGAAAAAGGAAATCTCATTGGGGAAAGTATTCATTACATAAAGAGCACAAGGCTACGTAAAGGACAAGACTGGGGAGTTAGGTAGATTCACAGTAGTACGTGAACAAATCAGTGCCCAAGGATCCTGTGTGATACACACTTAATGCCTAGAGAAAAGAGAGACCGGAAAAGATGGAAGTACCTATGGAATTGGGAAGTTTTCAAATTTCTGATGGTGTATTTCTGGGATTTAGAACTGGAAGTCCTGCCATGACCAGAGTGGCTCAGTTGGTTGGGCGATATCTCACAAAGCAAGAGGTTGCTGGTTTGGTTCCTGGTCAGGGTACGTACCTGGATTGCAGGTTGGTTCTGTTCCAGGTTGGGGTATGTACAAGAGGCAACTGATCAATGTTTCTCTCTCAAATCAGTTTCTCTCCCTCTCCTTCATTAAGAAACAAACAAACAAACAAACCAAAAGCACCCTGGCGGGAGTGGCTCACTGGATTGAGCACCGGCCTGTGGACTGAAAGGTCACTGGTTCCATTCCTGGTCAGGCACTCGCCTGGGTTGCTAGCCAGGCCTCCAGCTGGGGGTGTAAGAGAGGCCACCGATCTATGTTTCCCCCGCACAAGTGTCTCTCCTTCTTTTTCTCCTTCCTTTCCTCTCTCTCTAAAAAGTAATAATATGTATAAATAAAATCTTAAAAAACCTTGCCTACGGTAAAAAAAAAAAACCAAAAGCCCAAACTGGAAGTCTTTATACAATAGATTGTCATATCCAAAGATGACAACCAGATTTCAGCTTAGGTGCCAACTGTGACTAACTGTACTCACTGCTTTGGGCACTGTGCTGGGAAGGGTCTGGGGCTGCTGTCAGGTTCGGAAGAAGAGAATGCCATGGGCGATTAGTAATGCCAGTCAAGGGTTAGAAAGCAGGGTGGGGCAGCACATGCACCTATCTGTCATCCCTGCCGTGCACTCCCTTCGTTCTGCCGATGAGAGACGGATCATCTGAGATGTGGAGTCCCGAATTCCGGGCTCCTGACTCATAATACAATGCTGTATTTAATTTGTCACATTGCCTCTTTGCCTCACTCGGTGTGCTAAGGGTTATTAAATATTCATTTAGGCTTAATAAACACCAATGTCAGGTAGCTTTGGGAATGATCAAGTCAATGTTCTCTTTTCTAATGCCACACAGCACAATTAATTTGGGAAATATCAAACAATTCTCTGCATGAAGATAGTATGAAGTTACTAGAAATGAAAATGGTATTCGATGATGGCTAACATCCTTTCTGGTTCGAAATGCTTTCTATGTATCCCTAAATTGTACCCCTCTCTCTCTCTTTCTCACTCTAAGGTAATATCAGAGAAAAACATGTTGATGAGCTCCATCTAAATGACTGAAATAAACCCCCCAAGTTAAAAAGCGAATTTCCACCAAGGAAATGTATAGTACTCATGCAGTATAATAGTCAAAAACTTTTGTGGCTCTACTGCTTATCGGTTTTGTGATTCTGCGCAAGTTACTTAATCCTTTTGGACTCAGTCTGAAGTACGATGGGAAAAATAACAGTTGTACCCGATGGGTTGTGAGGGTTACAGATGTGAGTAATGTAAAGTCCTCAGAACCTGCTCGGCAGCTGGCACATGATGAGCGCCACGTAGGTAAGCGTTGGCCAATGTCATTATGACAGGACAGCACCTTTTCCTCAGCGAGGCCTTTCCTGCTTATGCCAACCCCTTTGTTCAAACCACAAAAAGCTGGTCATCCTTTCTTTGAACTCATCACTGTACCTTATAAAACCTGCCACCCTATACCAGCAATTTTCAACCTGTGGGCCGCAGCAGGCACACTGGTGAGTCACGAGGACTTTTAAAACCTACTGTACCTTACGATCTAGCCAGCAGCACTGGTGTGTTTTCCATTAGACTGTCAAATTAAAAAATGACAACAGCGAGCACAACAATAGCCATCCGGTATGAACGAATCAAAATTACACCTTTTTTTTGCCAGGTGTGCTGCAGAATTTCAGTAATTAGCTTGTGTGCCATGAGATGAAAAATGTTGAAAATCACTGCCCTTGAGTGATTTTCCTTTTTTGATCGTGATTGTGAGAGGTATTTCATACTGTGACCGTATATAGGAACGTGTATTATCTGAAAGAAAAGTTCACAAAACAGTGCTCACCTGTACTGTGCATTGTGTGCTCCAGGATTTTCTTTGACATTTCATTTCGTGAAAACTGAAGCTGTGTGGGATTTGGGTTACAAAGGTGTGTGGATTTTTAAAAATTCAGCGAATGTACTTTAAAGATTCGTGCATTTATTATATGTAAATGTTCTAAAAGATTTTATGTATTTATTTTTAGAGAGAGGGGAAGGGAGGGAGAAAGAGAGGGGAGAACCATCAGTGT